CACACAATCACAGACAATGCCTGTCGAGGATGAGGACATGGATGAACGAGACTGCTGTAGAGTCCATACCAGGTCAATAACAACGGTCTCCATCTTGGAAATGATGTTTGATAACAACTACAAAAGTTCAGCCGCCTTTGAGTTAATGGAACTTTTACCACTAAAAGTTCTCATTGAAGCAAAATGGAATTTGTACAGAAGTACGTACATTTTCTGGATGGTGATCCACTTTATTCTGATGGTTATCCTCAGCGTTTTTGCAGTGGAGCGTACAAGCCTGAACTTTCCAAAGTTTCCTAAGGGGACAAACAATACTAACACCGACAATATCATCTCAGTTTGGATAGTAAATGTGTCTCAATGGATAGAGTTTATATTTGGATTAATTTATTTTCTCATCGGAGTACTCCTTATCGTTCCAAAAATAAAAAGACCGCATCCATCTCGTTACTGGCAACATAACAGCGGATATATATCTATGGTGCTGATATTCGCCGTTTGCCTCTTACTCGACACACTGTTGACATTTGCCCTGGATGTTCATGACGGTGTACCCCTTGTATTTGCTCTGCTTACAGGCTGGTGGTTCAACGTGTTCTTCTTACGAGGTTGGCAAGTGTTTAGCTTCTTCACGGTCATGATACAGCGCGTCATATTCGGAGACTTGTTCCGGTTTTCCGTCTTCATTGGATTAGAACTTGTAGCTTTCACGACATGTATGCATACGGTTTATCAAGGGCAAGGTATCCCGAACGTTGAAGGGATTTACTCCACAACAGAAGTAAGCACATTACTGGAGTTTGGATCCACTATGCTGTCGATGTTCAGTCTCATGTTGGGGCTTTCAAACATCGGTGGATTACGCGATGCAAGAGTGCCCTGGTTATCTATAATTCTCTTCATTGGATTCGTCCTTCTGACATATGTTCTCCTGCTGAATGCACTTATAGCTATGATGTCTGCAACATGTGGTACGGTGCTAGAAAACCGTTACGAACAATGGCGGATTCAACAATTGTCTGTAATATTGTTTATAGAGGATCTCCTTTCTATATTTTGTATGAACAGGATTTTAAGATGTCCAGCAAAGTCAACAAAGATGGAAATATTTCATCCGTCGAAAATGACAACCAAGAAACATATCCGTTATTATCTAAAAATGCAGTCTTTACAGGGAGACTTCGCCTCCGAAGAAGACACTGAAATCATTCAGAAGAAAACACAAGCAGAAATAGCAAATACTGTTAACACAGAGCTTCTACAATCCATCAAGAAAGAAAGCAAGTTCATGGTGCCGAAGAAAGAAGATAGGAAGCCTATTCTCGTATCTAGGGAGACAGAGACTGACGACTATTTAATGGCTCCTACGGCTGTGGCAGTTCCAACAGCTTCTATCGTCCCGATCTACCATGAAGTTGGCACGACCGAGGTTGAACCTACTGAACGTGACTTACAAGCGATGCGTCAGATAAAAACCACGAAACACGTGTCAAAAACCGCAGGACCAGGACAAGTAGTCTACCACGAACACATAGAATAGGTTGCTCTGATATTGCGGGCAGTCATTTTACACATTTTTGTGGAAACGGTGCTTTTAGCAATTGTGATACGAATTTATATTAACATTGAAGGCGTGCATCTACTGACAATGTTAGCCGGATTTAATTCTCCAATCTGTTTATTGTCAATATTGTCATAAAACGATTCATTACAAAAGCTGTAAACAGCTTAATTTGATGTATACTACATTAACTTATTGAATGTTTCGAAAACAAAATAAAAAATAAATTCTATATGGACAATTCCACTGTATTACTATGAATATTAAATGAGCCGTGTCATTCTAACTTTAAGACAGTATGTCTTGACAACGTGGTGGTTTTTAACGTTACATATAACGTAGGGGAAATTGAGACAAATGCTTATATGAACAAGATTATTGTAGCTGTTATTTTATTGTGTGTCATTTGTACAGTCTTCAAAATGAGCTGGCAGTAGACATTGCCGGTGGACCCAATAATGGATTGTCGTAACATTGTCTTTCTTATCGAATGATAATAACAGTTTAGAATATGCACAAGTATGTTCTTTTGAATACATTCAATACTGAAAATTATGAAAAATGCTAAATATATGAGTTAGTGTTCTCCACATTGATTTTGACTAATTTGAATTTTCATTTTAAATAGATTTTCAAATAAAAGACGAAAAAGTGTTAGCATCACTGACTAGAAGGACGAAACATATACATTATTAATTCGTTATTACCTCTACACTTATTCTATGATGTTATTCCATTCTGTGTAATTTGAGCGGAGCTAATACAAAATCAAAAAGATAAAGAAATAAATTCAAGAAACTATCTGAAGACTGTGTAAGCACAATCAAATTCTCTTTGTAGTAAATGCTTGATCTTATATGAAAGATTGAGACAAGATAGAGGATCGATTTTGTTATTTACAATAACAGGTCAATAATATTCATGTTGAGATACCATTTGAGAGGAGGTTGCATTATGACTATACTATTAGCAATTGATGTTATTCCATTCTGTGTAATTTGAGCAGCTAATACAAAATCAAAAAGATAAAGAAATAAATTCATCAAATTCTCTTTGTAGTAAATGCTTGATCTTATATGAAAGATTGAGACAAGATAGAGGATCGATTTTGTTATTTACAATATTATATTCAGGTTGGATACCATTTGAGAGGAGGTTGCATTACTGACTTCTATAGCAATTGTCAGGAACAGGTCACGAATATTCATGTTTATGAGACATGAATGTCAAAATCCTTAACAAAAGGCATGAGTATTCAGAAAGACAATTTAAAAAGCGTGTGCCAGGTTCGTACATCCGTGATTATTGAAATGACTCTGATTTGAATTTGAAAAAAAAAAAAAAATGAAATGAAATCAGCTCTCGTATTCAACCAATTACAAAATCAATTCCAATATCAGCACATGATATTATGCAATTATACGGAAATCAAATACTGACAAGAAGTCATAGTCACGATATAGGCTAACATATGCTCGTATGCTATATTGATAACAGATTAAATTATTGCTTTAAATCAGGAATGTTTATTATTCAGTTCAGTTTGTGTGGCACGGACTATCGAATAGATTTTGACTGGATGGATGAACTCTTCAATAAAACTAAATCAAAATATGAACAATAGAATTATTCATACGGAGATTAATGAAAAAGGACAAGGAAAATGAGACCAAGTATCCCTGAGAGTAAACGTTTTCTATTTCATCGGCGATAACCGCCATGTAATCATTAGTCAAACCAAGCAAGTGATGTCACATTCTCACATGAGAGCAAGGCATTCAACAGCGGAGCAAACAGGCAAACTAACGAGCATCAAACACGTCCACAGTCATATCACACATGGAAATGGAATATTTCTCATGACATCACTGTAACAACGTAAAACTTGTAATTTTCATTCAACTACACCAGTGTTATGAGTGTCTCCGATAGTTGATACTTCTAGCATGACAATTAACATAATGGGGAAAAGGCCCTTGAATATCGAATTACCTTCGACATGTAAACACCATAGGTTGAAGATGCAGGGATGTTGCTATGGAGAAATAGAAAATACAATGTAGGGAATATAAAATCATCACGCTTATAATACAGAATGGTGGAAAGCTGCTCATGTAATGTTTGGTCGAAATTTATGGTATTATTAAACAATGTTCACTGTAATTTGTTTTCTCCATCTGTGTTAACAGTTCAAACATATTTAGTAACAGTAACATCTCAATAAGGGAGACAATTCCGCATACCCAAATGCACCTTAAGTTAATTACCAGACATAGCTGTGAGTAAGTTCCTGGTTTCGCTCAAAGTGTTTGTTGTTACCAATGACATTCATTGTGTGAAAAGGAGCTCGAAAACTTCACTGGTTCCTGTCAATACGCTTTAAACGATAGTATAGAACACATAAGCAATCGACCTGAAGTAAATTACTATATTAATTATTCAACCGTTATGGGCATTGTGTTGTTACAAGCTTACAATTTGCGTTATCAATTTAATATTCCTACAGTAATTTGAGGCGTCATTCAAATGAATTTTCGCATTATGGAATATTGTACACTTTTAAGACATTTATTAAACAATATTGATCTTTTTCCATTTCTGGTTTTAAGATAAATAATGTTTTATTCAGAAGAAATACAATCATGCCCTTTACAATCCGGTCATAGCCCAACAATAAACGTAGTAATTTAATTGTAGAAATGAATAAATGAATAAAATAGATATGAGCCATACCACTTGCTGTGTTACACAGTAATGAAACGATGGTTGATAGTTTATGCATTCTGGTCAAGAACCATAAAGATTTTACTTGAAAACAAAAATGTCTTTCTTCAGAATTCTAGTTATGTTATCTTTATTTACAACAGCATAAAATATGACTTTGCCGTGTCGTGTAATAGACAACATATAGAGGTAAATAAGGGAGACAATTTCAAGTACCACAGCCCACTTGAGTATCCATCCAAGAGCGAGTCCCTAGTTACACAGTTGAATGGTTTGTTAGGAAAGACCGTAATCATTGTGTTTAATGGCGCTGACGTGTCCCCCGCAATTCATTGACATATCGTGTTTCGTATCTCATTATAGTGATCTGTTTAAAACACAAAGGTATGCCGTATGTGTGGTTGTATTAGTCAGAGGGTGGAGACAAGGGAGAAACGGATAAGCTAATATGTATTTTGCTTTACCGTGACTCTAGCGTAAGTCAATAAGTAGGAGTGCAATCATTCATGATAACAAATAATGTCAGTAATAATAATTCCATACTCATATTTACACTATAAGATTTTAACAAAAAATACGTGAGATATTTTCTTTGTGATAAAGTATCCCCTTTCCACATCCCTATATACCACACTGCACATAACGGTAGACATTTCATCCAATACACAAACCACGGCTTTGTCAGATCAAACGCTTTAGTTACTGAAATATAAACATGGCGGACGGAACGGGTTTACATTTGGACCCTGCCTCCCTGACCCATTTGAAGACCCTGATAGAAAATGGCGAACCCCTTGCTTGTACCGATACAGAATCACGAGAAAGTGAAGATATGTCTGCCTCGGATTATGAGGAGGGTAAGTCATCCATAGTTATAATGATTAATCTGCAATGCATAGAAATTTTAAGCAGTAGCAACTTTCAAGTTTCGTCTCATCATGATATATTGACGAATAAGAGTTTTACAAAACATGTACAATATATGTATCATTTTACATATTTCTGACTCAAGAGTTATACCAGATAATTGGAAATATAAAGTGATTTTCTAATTACGAAATTAGTTTATTTCCCATATTAGGGGAGGTAAATACCATGTAAAAACGTAACAAAAAATAATACCAGCTATCTGCACAAAAACTCATAAACAAACAGATTTTTTCTTTGCTATGATTTTTAACAAAAATTATCACATACAATTTACTTGTTTATAGGATTGGAACTCATACAACAATTGAAAGAATACATTGAGGAAAAAGACATTGATGAAGCAAATGCAACTCTTCAAAAATTTGTAGCATTGGAATTAGACATCAGACATTTTCAACTCGACATATCTGAAACCAAAACATCATACAAATCGAAAACAAACGAGACCATTTTACACCACGCAGCGAAGTACGATACTGGTGGAATCGTCAGTGCTATACTTGATAAGTTTCCTACCTTGGTATCAGAGAAAAAGTGGGGAGTGCAGTACGAGGGACAGACCGCGCTTCATATCGCTATCACACGTGCCAACAATGCTGCCATAGACCTGATATTAAGAACAGCGAAAAAGTGTGATGAAATCATATCAAAAAAGAGAGAAGAGAGTGACGATATTGTTGCGGAAAAACCCCGGAGGCTGGAACATTTACTAGCAACCGCGGCAACCGGAAGCAGATTTGAAGGGACAGTAATGATGGGAGAATTGCCTCTGTTTGTTGCTGCCCTGAAATTTGACTTCGGCATGGTGGACAAGCTGATTGAATTCGGAGCTAATGTATGCACAAGAAATCATAGTGGTGACACAATATTTCACTCCATGATTAGGTACCTGAGCAGAAAAAGGGACAAAGAGGAGGAAGTTAAAAGAATGATGAACCACCTAAATGGTCACCTCCGAGAAATCACCAAGAAGAAAAGGGAAGAAATGGAAAATGAGGATATTCGGCGGTTAGAAAATGATGACAATCCAGACGAGGACAACATTACAGGAAACATTAAGCGTTCGAACAATTATGCGCATCTATGGTTGATGAAGGATAACGATGGGTTAACTCCTTTGAAATTGGCAGCGAAGCATCAGCTGGTTCATGTATTTGAATATATCCTGGAACTGAAGGATGTTTATTGCTTTCAGAACGAGGATGAAGGTTTATTTGACATCAAAAAGTATGATGTTACTGAGATAGATTCCATTGCTAACTACAACACAGAGATGGAAGCCATGGAAGACGATGAACAGACGGCTGGATGTTGTAACAGCTGCAGAGTCGTTTTTCCTGAAAATGAGTCTGTCTTGGAAATGATGTTTGACAAGAATTACACACGCAAATTTTCTTCCATTATCATAGAAATGACACCAGTGAAGAAGTTGATACAGAAAAAATGGAAAAATGTTGTCGCATTGTATTCTTTGTGGATGCTCATTCAGATGGGACTCATGATAGGGCTTAGCATTTACGCCGTAGAACGTTCCTACTGGCACGAATCAGACATAGAAAATGGAGGCACAGGTTTAGGTAACTACTTCAAAAACAACGAATCTCTACACTTGTTTCTCACCTCATTCCAGTGGATCGCATTTAGCATTGCAGTCTTCTACGTCATCATTGTCATCCTCTGTGGTATTTCGAAGTTAAAACGACCGAATCTTGATAGATATTACATGCACAACCTTGAATACATTCTTCTGATGTTGGTCTTTGCTTTGGCTGTAATAGTGGACGTTTTGATGACGCAAGCAATTGGGCGACATGAAGGGATTTCGCTCATCATTGCGCTATTCTCAGGGTGGTGGTTCAACGTATTTTTTCTTCGTGGGTGGCATCTCTTCAGCTTTTTCACGGTTATGATAAAGGAAGTAATTTTTGGAGACTTTTTACGATTTTCCGTTATAATTGCGTTTCAGTTGTTTGCATTCACGACATGTATGCACACGATGTTTCAAGGACAAGATGTTCCCACTATTGACGGCAGCGAAGACAACCACTTTGGCACCACACTCATTACCATGTTCAATCTTATGCTTGGTCTTGGAGAGATCGAATATCTGTTCCAAGCTCGTGTTCAGTGGTTGGCTTTGACTCTCTTTATTCTCTTTGTTCTACTCACGTATGTCCTACTTCTTAACGCCCTGATTGCCATGATGTCGTCTACCTGTGAGAACGTGCTTTCCGAGAAGTACTCCGTGTGGAGAATCCAGCAGCTCTCTATTATCCTTTTCATGGAGGATCTTTTCCTTGTCACCTGTCTCCGACGTTTCACCGGAAGTCCGGCAACCAAGCGAGCACAAGACTTGTATAATCCAATCGAAGACATTACCAGCCAGAACCAAGAGCGCTACCTTCTCGACATGAAGTCGCACAAGAGGACATTTACTGAGGAGGACACCGATGTGATGAGGAAAAGAACGCAGGAAGAAATAAGGAAAACTGTCAACCAAAAACTCAAACAAAACATGGAAGAATCTATTTCGGGACCGAAAAAGGTTGATGAACAGCCGTTAGTACAGAATGATTTTCTCAAAGATGACATCGAAGGACCAAGACTTAAGCTTTATACACGTGAGTTTAAGGAAGAGCTCCCCAAAATTCCTGAGGATAACTCTACTCGTGCTCGGGTTAGCAAATGGATGGCTACCATGCAGTGACATATATTATTGCTTCTAGAATTAATATCCTAGAGACATTTATTGTTACAACGGATATTGCACTATTAACTTACGTGTTTTCTTGTGAACTTTGCTGGTAATAACATTTGGAGTATCGCTGCATTAGCTTTCATTTACCGAAACCACATGCGATACTGTTTCCACGTATTATGTGTAGACACTATAGTTTTACTATTTAAATCAAAGATGATGATAACCTACTAATGGTGTGGTACAAGAATAAATAAGAAAATGATGAAAAATAATGATATTTTTTTTTATTAATCATTAACGAAATACAATTGAAAATAAGGAGGTTTCGAAAGGAAATAAGCCACGGATTTAAAATTCAGACGGTCTTGAAATTAAGACGGTCACAACTAGAGTTGATTTTAATTTTTTTTTTAATGTACCTTTTGATGAATTTGTCAACAGCAATTTTTATTTTGCATCTTGTAATGGAATGGAAGTTTTAATCATAGCATCCATACACAGAAAACATTGATGTTTACTGTTAGCCAACTTTCCGAGTGCGATTTATCTTTCCGAATGTCGCGATCGAAGCAAAATTACAACATTGATAATGAGCATCAATTGTTATTGTAAACATCTGCTGCTTTATAGAAGGACTATATACCCATCACCTGCAATCTTAATCTACACGTTCAGTACATACAGTTATATTACGTTTCGTAAATCTGTCGTTAAATGACGTGTTCAAATTCGTGTTTTGTTAATGAAACAAAGCCGTGGAGATCTGTAGCGTGTTTTAATTCTATGACTGGGTCGCCTTGATATGAAGCCATGCGAGCTTTTAAATAACTGCGATCGACTTTCACATTATGTTCTAAACAACAGCATGTGACATCAATATTTTAGATCTAATATTCAATTCAATTCAATTCAATTTTATTCTCTTTCACAAAACAAATTGTACACAGAAACATATTTACAATAATATTTACAAACAGAGTACTCAATATACGATATTTTGTTAATAATGCTGTTAATATGATACAAGTGATGTCTATTGTCTAGTAAATACAATAGGTAGGCTTGTAAATTCAGGAGGACAAATAGTTGTATTAATCATTCTTATAAAAATACACAGTTTCTTTAATGATTTAACATCAGTAATATTCATTGATTTATTAAATTTGATAGTGTTAGGCCTGAACCAGAAGTATTTATCAATGTATAAAGAAAAAAGGACATTGGAGGAGGTAATGAAATTCATCACCAATATCCCCTAGATCGCAATATGGACATTTCCTTTCTTCATACTCAATACCGTGCCGTCTTCCGGTTTCAACAATACACTTATGGTTAGTAGTACGGAATTTACACAGAGTAATTTTATCTTTTTCATCTATATTATCCAAATAATATTCGAAATTACATTTTGTTTTGAAAATTCTATAACATATAGCTTTTGAGGAATTGTATACATCACTATTCCATTTTTGTAAATATTAGTCAACAAGTCTTTATTTCACTGTGTTCTTTAACCACTTAGGATTAAATGTTAACGGACATTGAGAGGTCCATATATAGGTAAAACCACATTCAAAATACTCTCAACAAAACTTAGATATTCAACAGGCTTGTTTTCAATAGTGTAATTATGGTATAAAAGTTTTTACACAATAAAACCCAATTTTGTTTCTTTACATCAGATTAACCGTGACCAGTATGATATTATTCTAGTTTTTACTGATAATTCTAAGGGATATGTACCAAATTCCCCGTATACCATGTAATTAGAAGTACTATTTTTCACTCCAAGCAATAGTTTACAAAATTTTTAATGAACACGTTCAATTATATTCAGGTTTGTAAATCCCCATACTTCACAACCGTACCACAATATCGGTTTCACAATTTTTTCAAATAAATCATATACACAACTCACGGATTGAAAGTACCAGAACGACTAAATATCGTACCTAAATAGCTAAAGCTGTATACCATCTCTAACTCTTCATGATTGAAATAGGTCTTGTTTCTTTTACTCCTCCGTCCATTACTGAAAACCATGCACTTAGTTTTACTAATATTTACTTTTAATTTCCACTGTTTTCAATATTCATTAAACACATTTAATTGTAATTGCAAGTCATCTGGACAACTAGAGAAAAGTAAAGTATCATCGGCATATAGTAAAATAAGACTGGTTTATTCCTATCCGTTTTCTACTAATATGACCTGTTAATAAAGTTTAAAAAGTCGTTCAGTCTAAAATCATATCAGCACAGACCCGTGTTCCTCAAACTTCCGCAGTTAGCTCACCTATCGTGGCCAAGGTGGCGACCGGAGATGGGGCTCGGTACGTGTTCATACAGTGATGACTTATAATTCGCGAAAGTAAATCGTAAGGACCACGTTATATGACTTAAGTCGCGAAAGTTAGTAGCCGCGAAAGAAAGTTTGTTTACTGTGAATCAAACAATGGGAGGCAATTCTGTGTTCTCAAAAAATACGTCAGACTCTGTGTATGGTTGATTATATATTGAAACAAACTCTCGTAATATTTGTACGAAATGTTGTTGAATCAAAATGATGATCATAAAAACACAATCTCATATTATGGTTGTAAATAGCCTACCTAGTTTCAAAGAAATTGGTTTATATCTGATGTAGACGATGTCCAGACAAGAATACTGAATAAAATGAGAATACTAATTCTAAAATTATTCAATACAATTCAGGAAAATACCATTTCATGACCCAGTTATATGTCTACTGAGCTTAAAACAGATTAACTGGGAAACATTGAAATGCCGTGAAAAAAGAAAGGGACATATACTTCCTTCAAACATTGTTTACGCCAACGTCTTTTCTGGAAAACATGATTCACTTCATGGCTATAGGTGTACTGAGTTTGAAAAAGGCCGGTTCAAAAGTAAGAGATATCCGGACTTTCAATTTAGATTATGAAAATTAAATCAATAATTCTTACAAATACATCGAAATTGAATGTAACTTTTATTCTGACATGATAATTAAGCTATATGATAATATATCAAAAGTTTTGCTGGACTTAAATTAAATGATACCAAGGGTCAACCCTGATCTCTGTATACAGCTGGTGAATATCTAATGTGATATTATAGAGATAATAATAATACAGAGCTTCAACATTTGTTTACTCAATGCATAGAAAACAATGAGTTAGCCATATTTGACCAAGTAATGTCCTATATATAGAAAATGTCGATATTGGTCTATCTTATGTATGATATTTGAAGCGTCATGTTATCAAACTGACGTCCTTCATGTCTTGGTGATTAATTCTACAGAGTTTAAAAAAGAAACACTCACTTTAACACTATCAGAAGTGGTCTCCGGACAAAGAAACGCTGGCCTGGAAACAGTATGACCACGTTTTACAGTAGTAGTGCTGGCCTGGAAACAGTATGACCATGTGTTTCAGCAGTAGTACTGGCCAGGAAACAGTATGGCCATGTATTACGTAATGCTGATCTGGAAACAGTATAACCATGTATTACAGCAGTAGTGCCGGCCTGGAAATAGTATGACCATGTATTACAGCAGTAATGCTGATCTGGAAACAGTATGACCATGTATTACAGCAGTAGTACTGGCCAGGAAACAGTATGATCATGTATTACAGCAGTAGTACCGGCCTGGAAATAGTATGACCATGTATTACAGCAGTAGTGCTGTCCTGGAAACAGTATGACCATGTGTTACAGCAGTAATGCTGGCCTGGAAACAGTATGACCATGTGTTACAGCAGTAATGCTGGCCTGGAAACAGTATGACCATGTGTTACAGCAGTAATGCTGGCCTGGAAACAGTATGAACATGTATTACAGCAGTAGTACTGGCCTGGAAACAATATGACCATGTATTACAGCAGTAGTGCTGGTCTGGAAACAGTATGACCATGTATTACAGCAGTAATGCTGATCTGGAAACAGTATGACCATGTATTACAGCAGTAGTGCCGGCCTGGAAACAGTATGACCATGTATTACAGCAGTAGTGCTGGCCTGAAAACAGTATGACCATGTGTTTCAGCAGTAGTACTGGCCGGGAAACAGTATGACCATGTATTACAGCAGTAGTGCTGATCTGAAAACAGTATAACCATGTATTACAGCAGTAGTGCCGGCCTGGAAATAGTATGACCATGAATTACAGCAGTAGTGCTGGCCTGGAAACAGTATGACCATGCAGTAGTACTGGCCGGGAAACAGTATGACCATGTATTACAGCAGTAGTGCTGATCTGAAAACAGTATAACCATGTATTACAGCAGTAGTGCCGGCCTGGAAACAGTATGACCATGAATTACAGCAGTAGTGCTGGCCTGGAAACAGTATGACCATTTATTACAGCAGTAGTGCTGGCCTGGAAACAGTATGACCATTTATTACAGCAGTAGTGCTGGCCTGGAAACAGTATGACCATGTATTACAGCAGTAATGCTGATCTGGAAACAGTATGACCATGTATTACAGCAGTAGTGCTGGCCTGGAAACAGTATGACCATGTATTACAGTAGCAGTGCTGGCCAGGAAACAGTATGACCATTTATTACAGCAGTAACGCTGGCCTGGAAACGGTATGACCATGTATTACAGCAGTAGTACTGGTCTGGAAACAGTATGACCATGTATTACAGCAGTAATGCTGATCTGGAAACAGTATGATCATGTATTACAGCAGTAGTGCTGGCCTGGAAACAGTATGACCATGTATTACAGTAGCAGTGCTGGCCAGGAAACAGTATGACCATTTATTACAGCAGTAGTGCTGGCCTGGAAACAGTATGACCATGTATTACAGCAGTAGTACTGGCCTGGAAACAGTATGATCATGTGTTTCAGCAGTAACGCTGGCCTAGAAACGGTATGACCATGTGTTTCAGCAGTAGTGCTGCCCTGGAAACAGTATGACCATGTATTACAGCAGTAGTGCTGGCCAGGAAACAGTATGACCATTTATTACAGCAGTAGTGCTGGCCTGGAAAC